GGGGGGGGGGTGTGTCTCTCAGGGGGCAGGGAGTGGTTGGATGGGGCGTGGGAGTCCTGGGGGTCTGTCTGGGGGTGGGGGTGTGGATAAGGGTTGGAGCACCCAGGGAACAGGTAGGGGGTAGGGTCTTAGGGGGGGCAGATAGGGTGGGGGGGGTCTCAGGAGGGGACAGTCAAGGGACAAGGAGCAGGGAGGCTTAGGTAGGGGATGGGGTCCTGGAGGGCAGGTAGGGGCAGGGGTCCCAGGAGGGGGCAGCAAGGGGACAAAGAGTGGGGGGGGGTTGGATGTTCTGAGGGGGGTGGGAAGTGGGAGGGAGTGGATGTGGGTGGGGCTCTCCCCCCGTTCTATTTTTTGATTGTTGAAATATGGTAATCCTAAAAAAGCGGTGCCCTGGCTCGGCAGGGAGGAGCCGCCTTCCGGAGGCACCGGAGAGCCAGAGCGTCGGATTGTGGGGGTGGCGAGCCCCAGCCATTGAGGAGCCGGTGCGGCACAGGGGGGCAGCAGCCCTGAAAAGGTGGTGGCACCGCTAGCGGGGAGCAGCCGCGCCCCCTGCCCTCCTGCCCAGGCTGTGGCCCGGCGCGCCCCCCCGGGGACTCCTGCAGGCTGCAGCAGTTGCATGTGGTCAGTGGCCCCCATGCGCCCCCCAGTTCCCCCCTCGCTGTGCTCGGGCTCTATGGCTCCCAGGCATGTGAGCTACCAGGATGCAGGGCCCTGAGCCTACTCTGGGAGGGGCAGCGGCAGTGGAGGCTCACACTCCAGGGAGCCGCAGAGCCCGAGCGTGGCAGCGGGGAGCCGGGAGGCGCACGGGGGCTGCCACCCGCATGCATCCATTGCAGGAGCCGCCGGGGGGGGGGGGTGCCAGGTGCGTTGCAGCCCGACCAGGCGCACCCCAGGACTTACCCCTCACCGCACTCGGGTTCTGTGGCTCCTGGGCATGTGAGCCGCTGCTGGACCTCCCGGAGCAGGCTCATGCCCGGGAGCCGCAGAGCCTGAGCATGGCGAGGAGGAAGCCAGGGGGCGCATGTGGGGCCTGCATCCACTGCAGCCTGTAGGAGCTCCTGGGGGGGGTGCCCGGCCGCAGCCTGGGCAGGAGGGGCGGGGGGCGTGGCTGCTCCCCGCTAGCCGTGCCACCACTTTTGCAGGGCTGCTGTCCCCCTGTGCCGCGCCGGCTCCTCCATGGCTGGGGCTCGCCGCCCCCGCAAGCCGATGCTCTGGCTCTCCGGTGCCTCCAGAAGGTGGCTCCTCCCTGCCGAACTGCTGCAGCGGCCCAAGCCTGGCAAAGCCAGTGAGTGGACTCGGGGCGGGGACCGCCGGGGTGGGGTGGGGTGGAGAGGGCTCGTGGGGGGGCTGTGCACCCTGCAGGGGAGTTCAGGGGGCAGGGAGGGGGGAACCTGGTCTGGAGAGCAGCACCTGGGCACGGCTGGCCCCTGGGGTCTATAAAGGCTCATTGGGATTTGCCCCTCAATGAACCAATGCGCAAGGTGGAAGTTTGGCCTAGGGCGCAAAATATCCTTGTACCGGCCCTGAGTGTCCTATAATTGGACAGCAATAAACCTCTAGAAGGGGATCTGAACTAATCAGTGGACCAGCTGAAGAGCTGGGGCCAGAAGGGCCCAGAGAGGGCAAAACCATTGCCTCCAGCAAGGAAGCCCTGGGGGTAAGGCCTGATACCAGGGCTGGGACTGTTTAGAGACTGCAGACACACCCAACCAGAAGGGGCACTTGCCGTTACACAGGCTCCCAGGCCAGTGTCTCTCTGGGCCAAGTACACTGATGGTTCAAGTAACACACGGGGCATGATTCTCATTTGCACCGAGGCCCCTTACTGCTCTGGCTGTGTAACGGGGCCTTTCAATGGGTGTATGTTACCTTTACATGCACTGTAAGGCCCAGTAAAGGGGCTTCAGTGTAAATGAGAATCTGGCCCACTGGATGTTAGTGGGGGGAGTAGGGAAGGTGTGTTGCTCGTATATTCAGTGGGTGAGCAAGGGGCAAGAGCCAGGGAAAAGCAGCTACCAGTGGGCTCTTATCCAGCAGCCATCCCACCCACCTTCCCTGGTTTGGAGAACTCCCCACAATTTCAGCTTCCCAGACTCTGGCATGGGCGGGATGCTGCTGCCCCTTCACACACACAAATGTGGACCTGGGACCACATTTGTGCTTTCTGCATGCAGTAGCCCTGGCTCCCCACTCACTGCAGGACCCTCTGCAAAACTGCCTCTAACTTCTCACTCCTCTTCCTCTGCTGTGGGCCTTTGGTTAGGACATTCTAACTGTGCAGAAGCTGCCCTTGTTTGCAGTATAGTGTCAGAGGGGTCTTGTTTCACAGAGAGTGCCAACTGGCTGGCAAAGAATGCTAGGCCCAAACCAAAGCACTATTGCTAAAAATGCTATGGCGGATTGAAAGCTGAACCCAGATCACAACTTCACATGTGGCTCCTACCGCTCCAGTGGGCGGAACCAAGCACTTGGACTTGAACCCTGGGGACATTTCATTCTGGGTCCAAACTTTGCAGCTTGCCTTCATCTAGGGTGACCACCCATCCCTAATTGAGCAGGACAGTCCCAAAATGTACATTTCAAGTCCCAGTCCTGGGCTGAACGACTCCAGGACAGCATTTGTCCCCGATTCCCTGTGGCGCTGCTCTGCATCTGCCCAAGGCTCAGGGGTGGTGCCAGCCTCTTCCCGGTGGTGGACTGAGGAGGGCCTTAGCCCCCCTCGCATGAGGCCCCAGCCCCTGCTCCTTCTCTTCCCCCCCCCCCCAAGGCCCCGCCCCTGGCCAGGCCAGAAGTCACAGCCATGCAATAGTAAGAGCCACCCAGGGAGCCTGGGCCTCTAGGGGGAGCTGTGGATCCTCCACCTGCCCTGGGCAGCAAGCCCTGGGGGGCAGGGACTTCTCTCAGGCACTCCAGGCCCCTGCCCAGGGCAGGTGGAGGGTCCAGGGCTCCCCACAGCGGCCAGGGCTCCTCTTACTACTGCCCAGCTCTGGCTCCTGGCCTGGCTGGGGGTGGGGCATCAGGGGGAAGAGGAAGAGCAGGGTGGGGCCATGGACGGAGGCAGCATGTGTCCCATTTTTGCATTTTGAAAAGGTGGTCACCCTTCCCTCATGTCTACAATGAACCGAACCAAAGGCCAGGATCCAAACATGCCCGAACTCTGCAGCACTTGTAATCCAGATCTAGAGCCATAATTTGCACCTGGGACTCCCCTTCATTTCCTCAACAAAACCTAAGCAGCTGGCCCTTTGGGGAGTGAGGCTCGTAGCTGCTCTGACGGGCTGGAGCATAGGTGGTAATATTACAAGTGAATTCAGCCAGGGGGGTCTTGCCCACATGCTCAGGGTCTAACCAATCACCATATTTGGCACTAGGAAGGAATTTCCCCCGGGTCTGATTGGTAGAGACCCTGCAGGGTTTTCACCTCCCTCTGCAGCACAGGTCACTTGCGGGTTTGCACTAGAGTAAATGGTGGATTCTCTGTAACTTGAAATCTTTAAATCAAGACTTCACTAACTCAGCCAGGGGTTAGGGGCCTACTACAGGAGTGGGTGGGCGAGGTTCTGTGGCCTGTGATATGCAGGAGGTCAGACAAGATGATCATGATAGTCCCTTCTGGCCTGACAGTCTATGAGAGCAAGAGCTAAGGTCATTCTGCTTCTCACGGCTGCCTTGAGCCCTGCTCTGCAAGGCAGTGCAGGCAGGGACCCCATGACTCTCAGCACTCTCACACACGCTTGGTAATTCAGAGTGACAGAGGTGTTAAGGAGAGCATCAAGCATTCAGCGGTGTGCTGCTTGCACAACATGCTTCGGCAGAAATATTTGAGCTGAGCAACAAATGCACCGCGGATATCAGCATTGGCTGTGGGGCAGGGAAAAGGGATGACCAATGTTGCCTTCCCACATGAACCAGGAGATGTATCAGTCCAGGATCCTATTAGGGTTTGGCACAGAGGATGTTACATCACCTTGAGCCAGCTAGTTGGAGAATGAATTGCAGATCCTCCTGAGCTATTGTGTGGGCTCGAAGGGAAGTTCCTGCAAAGCGGTGCCCATGCCTATTGCAAGCACATGGAAGGGCCATGATCATGGAGCGCAACAGATAGAACTGAGAGGAGTTTGGTGCAGACCTACCTGGGATGTGCTGTCGACTTGCAGAAGAACAGCCAAGCCAATGCCAACGAGGAACCTGGAAGGATTCCCGGAAGGAGAAGGTTAATTTTGGCAAAACAAATCCATTGGTGCTGCACCTGCAGCATGGCTGTGTCTGTCTGTCTGCTCCATTGGCTTCCACTAAACAGGTTCAGAAGTTCTAGGGCTATTGCTATTTCTAGCAGCGTTCCCCAGGATGGCTGACACCAGTAATATATGACTCTCCACGTGTGTCTGGGGAGACTGCCTGTCACTGAGAGAGGTTTGCTATATGGGCAACTCCACAGTGAAGGTTGTGTTGAGTTTCTATTTTAAACCGGGGCTGACCCTCTGTGTGTGTATAGTCTGGGAGGGAAGATGGACTCTAAATAACTTTGATGTAACTCTAGTAAGTGGTGAGTTGCTATTCCTCTGAAATGGGCCCTTTGGGAAAACTGTCCTGGCGCGTCAGCCCACTTTCGTGTCACGCTAGCTAAAAAAGCATAGCCACACCCCCTCCTCCCCATAGACTGCAAACTGCTCTGACACAGGGCAACCACCCTGAAGGAGCAGTTTAGGGTGAACACTCAGGAGAGCAGTTTGTGGAGAGCACCATGGGGGACAACCCAGGGGACAGAGGATTAGGGGGAGCACCCTGGGGCGGAACGACAGGAATCCTGTAGAAAAATTAGTCTGTGATCATGTCATTAAAGATTGTCTCATAATGCACATGCATGAGGGGGCCAAATTAAGGTTGCATAAAGAAAGGCAACCTTCATTCTGGCATCTCCTAGCTTTTCAGAGCCTGGCTTTGCAGTCTTAATTCTTTACGCATAGCTTTTTGGGAGTAATGACCTCGAGAGCCTTGTCTGCCAGGGCTGGATAGTGCAAGGTGGAGTCAGGTGTTCACCGGGTGACAGCATGACCCAGCCCCTCGGCCTCTGCCTAGATCAGTGTCTGATTAAAGCCTTACGTTGGTGCTAGGCTAGCTGGGAAGGTGTGGAACCCCTAACCCAGTCCGATCAGAGCGCAGTACCATTCCCGATGGAACTAACAGGGCAGGAGAGATTAGCAGGCTGGCCTAAGTTAGCTGTGATGTCCCCTCACATAGACACTACTAGAAATGGACGACCTCCCCCTCCCCCGTATGGCAGGATCTTAGCAGTGGCAACTGAATGTACAACAGTGTAAAATTGCTGCTGCTGCCCCAAGGGAGGTGGGGTCAGAGGGGCGGGGCGGAGGCTGGCTGCCCTATGCAATACCACTAACCATGTGGCTGGCAAGAGCTCACATTGCCGCTGCTGCTGCAGGCTCTGGGCCTCCCATCAGCTTGGCAGAGGGAGGCCAGAGGCTGAGGGAGAGCCTGGCCATGAGCTAAGCTCCATGCTGTGGGAGGTGGCAGTGTTTCTAATGAGAGCTTTCTGTCTGAAAGAGGAGAGGGGGAGCCTTTGCCATGGGCGTGGCTGTGTGTGTGCTCACACCTGCCCTTTGTAACTGCAGACTCAATGGGACGCCAGTCACCCGATCAAAGTGCTAAAGCAGCTGGCTGGGTAAGGGTGGAGGCACACCCACGGCTCAGGTACGCAGCTCCTGTCTTTGCCGTAGGAATGGCTGCAGGGCCTGCCAATAGCTGCATAGCCCGGCTGCCAGGTAGGGATGTTGGACAGCAAATAGCACTTGCCAGGATCTTGCCACTGGTTGCCGTGCAGATTCAGGGACACACATCTGGCCAGGTGCTAATGACTCTCACCACTGTTAGGGAGATGGGCCCGAGCAGCAAAGTACCCCCAGTTCAGGGCCCCTCTCAAGTTACCACCAGGGCACCTGCCTGTACATGCACCATTAGGGCGGGCAGGCCGCGATGTCCCGGGTTGGGGGTGGGCAGAGAGGCACATTCCCACTGAGCCTGGCCCCAGTGGTTGCATGGGACTGAGATCCCAGGGGGAGGGATGGTGACACGGCAATAGAGGCTGTGAGTCTCCAGGACACTGGGCACCAGCAGCTCCGGAAATCGGCAGGTAACTAAGTGCTGCTCAGCTGTCAGTATCAGCTCATCCCATCTCCCCTCCACAGACTGAGACACACACACCCCAGGGGGGCAGGTCAGGGGCATGGCAGCATGGGGGCATGGAGTCTGGTGTGAGTGGTCTTGGCTCCCTGGGCTGAGCCCCCTCCCCTCACTGGAGAGTCAAGCCCCCTGAGGGAGCAACTTCCCTGTCCCAGCATGGGTCCGGCATCACAGACCCAGAGAGGTTAGGACCAGAAGGGCCCATTCTGATCATCCTGTGTGAGCTCCTGCAAGATAGGGCTGGCTGCAGGAGTCATGGGGTGGGCTCGTGGGAGGACTGCTGTCACCCAGGCACGGTACCACCCTTTTGTGGAACCCAGCTCTAAGCAGGGCTCCAGACAAGGCAGATGTGGGCCTGGGAGACCCTGGATTAACTCAAGTGGGGCTGGGGGGGAAGGTACTGAATTAAGGTGGGGCTGGGAGTGCCTGAGCTGGCTGCTGTTCAGGCGTGGGGCTAAGGGAGGGCACAGCTGGACTCAGGGACACCCTGACACCATCCACAGGGCTGTACCCCACTGGGTGTCAGTCGATCTCAGGCGAGGGGCCGTGATCGCATCCTCTGCTGCACAGGGGGGAACTGGAGATGCTGTGACCATCATTCACACTGGGGTGGAGGGTGGGGGGTTAACAAGCAGGAGACTCCAACCCACCTGATTTCATCATTAACAAATAAATCTCCTGATTTTGGGGTCTGGCTTGTGATTTCTGAGTACTTGGGGGGGGGGCTGCTATGGCCATGGGGGAATTATGGCTCATGGGGCCAAGGCCCCCCAGACCCGGAGCCCAGTGCACTGCCTAGCCCTGTGTGCCAGAGAGACGTCACACCTGTTGTTCCTCTTGGCCAATACAACAAAAGAACCCATTCACCAACCCAGTGGTGGCCATTCTCCAGCTGCCGTGCTCCAAACTGGTGCCACCCAGTAAGGAAGGGAAGGGTCTTACCAGGCCATGTCTGTTCTCCCTACAGCAGCACAGGCAGAGAACTCCGGTGGCTGGGGCTGATGTGCGGCGGCCACTTCCTGCCTTTTACTGTGCAGACCGTCCAGAGTCCAGGAGCTGATTACAGGCCCTGATCTGCGAGTGCTGAGCTCCCTTTGCTCCCAGGAAGGGCATGAGGGCTGGAGGTGCAGAAGCCTCTTCGCAGGCATGTAGCACCATGCAGGATCCGGCCTGCTACCCTTTGCCCCTTAGGCTGGGCTCTGCATAGGGGCCCATTCTGATCCCCATGGATATTCTCCCTGCCCTGCCTTCCCGACACCCTGAGCAGCTGCTCGCCCTTCGCTCACAGCCACTCCTTTGCAGAGTCAGCAATGCAGCACGAAGGAGTCCAAGGCAAATCTCCCAGCTGGGGAGGGCAGTGGCTGGCTCCCAAGGAGGCAGCTCTCTCTGCAGAGAGCCCTGGTTGAAATGGAAGGGTCAGAAGGGCCCACTTCGACTGTCAGACCAGCCCAGGCACAGGGAGCTCCTGCCCATGCACAGCTCCCACTCAGAACAGGACACTGGCCTGGGGATCTGTTGCGTGGCTCTAAGAGCAGAGCTGGGCCTGGGTACCTGGCTGTGTATGTGAAGACACGAGGGAGATGCAGTTTTGCTTCCATTAATTATTCCACAATTAATTTGCATCTGTTCATGAAGAGCAATTTCTCATATTACAAGAAGTGAAGTGTAGATTTTTCTGGCTGTCCAGTTAGCATTGCACACACTGCAGGGCAAGATGGGGCACTGGTTTGAAAGGGGCAACGGTCACATTGTCATAGAATAATCTGATCCAGGGGCAGGATCTGGGGATCAGGATGCGGGGGGGGGGGGGGAGAGAAGAGGGGGGGGGGGGGAAGGGGGGGAGAAGGAGGGGGGAAGGGGGGGGGGGGGCACCGGGGGGGGGGGATAGAAGCAGGAGTGGGGATGGGGCAGGTGCTGGGAAGATAGGAGCAGAAGGGAACTGGGGCAAAAGGGAAAGAATAGCATGTGATCATGTAATTACAGACTGTCTCATAATGCATCTGCACAAGGGGGCAGAGTTAAGGTTGCAGCGCTAGGCGGGGCTGTGTGGTTGCTAATGGGGCATGGCTGTTCCAGGTGATAGCCTGGACTGGGACCGCGGAGTCGGGATTCAGTGACCGGTCAGGGCCGCTCTTTGTTTCCTCTACTCATTTCTCCCCTCACCCCCGCCATGTGAGCATGGCTTTGCTGATTCACATGGACAGTCTTGAGGGGATGATCTAACATTCTCGGAGAGGGCCTCTCGTCACCATGGGACCGCGCATTCAAATGGACATTAGAATCCAACAAGCCACAGAGCTGGAGATGGTAAGGCCAGAGGGGACAGTTCTGCCCATCCAATCCAAGCTCCTGCCTAGCACAGGCCAGAGAGCTCCCTGACTCTGCATGGGCCGGGATACACCACGTTTGGCCCGTACATGATGCTGCTTAGCTACAGCTCTCCAAGGCGGGGAGCTTTTTAGCTGTGGCCACTAGGGGGTGTTCCCTGTCTCTGGGCGTGTAGCCCAGTATCTCGGCCCAGGCGCTCACTGGATGCTACTGAGAACTTTGGCCTCAGTGACTTGTCCAAGGTCACACAGGGAGTCAGCAGGACTGGAGACTAGGGCAAGGAATCCTGGTGTCCTGGCTCTCACGCTGATGTGCTCCCCACACCTTGCTGTGAGCACTGCAAGGCAGCTGTCCTGTGACATTTCTGCCTGCTGGGACAAATCGTTTGCAAAAGCCAGAGGTGAAAGTAAGCCGGTCTGGTCCAGTACGGTGTACCAGCAAGAGCCAGTACGCCGTGCCGGACCGCACTGGCTTCCGCAGTGGGGATTTAAAGGGCTCTGGACTCCCCGGTGGGCTCTGGACTCCCCTTTAAATCCCACCTGCAGCTCCGGCGGCTGGGCTGGGGCCGGGATTTAAAGGGCTCGGGGCTCCCCGCAGCGGCGGGAGCTCCGGGTCCTTTAAATCCTGGGCCCTTTAAATCCACGCCCGAGCCTGGCTGCTGGAGCTGCGGTGGGGATTTAAAGG